ATAAAATGAAATTGTAGATTTGTTGAGAATAAAAATAGTGTTAATGGACTAGACGATATAACGAATCAAGGTGAAGCTGCTATGAAATGAAATCATGAAAATATATACCATAATACATGCTGAACAATTCAATTGAAGAATCATCGCATTTCTTGCAATTGCAGTGCCATGTTTCATTAAATGGTTTAAAATTAAATCAGTAACAACTCAAAATATTGCAGAAACTATTGTTTGTTTTTTTACATAATTCCACAGATCCGTAATTCAACTCTTTCCAGATGCTAGTGCAAAGAAAGTTTCCCAGGAAAATTACAAGTGTTTCACATCATGAGCCACAACCAGAAATGAAGAAATCACAACAGGGTGCAGCTCTGAATCATGTATCAACCTACTTATTACTATTTTCCTTTACATTACTGCAGTGGTTAAAAGTACATTGACAGTTGAATACAAAAGTTGTCATTTTCATAGATTAGCTAGCATCCCTCCAAGAAAGCATCTTGGTATAGTGTCCTTATTATAAGTGATTTCAGATGGTAACCAATGATCCAAGGGCACTTTACAATTTAAGTGATGAAATAAAGTTCTCTCCTAAAGTGTTTAAAAGACAGAGTAAGCAAACATGAGATGGTCTCTCGTTAATTAAATATTTGCATTTTTTTGTATCTTTGTTTAATAAGAATACAAGTCGATTGCACCACAGGTTAATTGTTCTACAGTTAATGTAGTATAGTTTGATTATACTTTTAATATTTATTAGCAAGATTTTCATCATGTTTCTCCACAATATGTGATGATATCCTCCTACAAGGTTTAACTATGCTAAAAGTATCCATGACATCAGTTCTTAAAAAAAACAGAACACTTATAACGTTGACTCAGTTGAAGCCACTTATAGGAGAGGACTCAGAACATCCAAAATACTGCTGTGACACCCACTACCTCAAAATAAAACTCTGCACTCCCATATTCACTAGTTATATATAGTTATGATATATTTTATACGAAGTATGCCTTGCGAGATATTGGAAAAGTCATCATCCGTTGAACATTACTATTCTGTTGAAATGTATGCATCATTGCTGTATATGAAGTTATGAGATTTTAATATGTGTTTGTTACTGAAACAAGTTGAGAGTCTGGGAAAAGGCCACAGACCAGGTCCTTAGAAATAACAAAGGAACTGTAAACACAAGCCTTATATGTCAAGTCTCATGTATACAGAAAGTGCAAGCAAGAATTTGCAATTCATACGAAAGACTGAGTGCTGAGCACCTAGGCAATAGGGGTTGCCTAACCTCATGACACAATAAGGATAATTCCAACAGCTGGAGTATAAAATAAGAGACAGTGACATTATCAGACCACCTCTCCTCTCCCACCTATACTGAAGGCAACATGATCATTTGAAAGACAGAAACACCACTGAACTGGGGGAGTGGTCCTAACTGGAAAAAAACTTTTCCAGTTAGCACAGACGGCTGTAGGCTTTTGGGTAAGAGAAACCTTACTGTTTCAGATTTGACTTTGCTTGGTAAAGTTTAGGAATTAGACTGTGGTTTTTATCTTTTATTTCTTTTTGCAACCAATTCTGACCTTTTATGCTTATACCATTTATAATCACTTAAAATCTCTCTCTCTTTCGTTAATAAACTTATTTTGATGTTTTATCTAAACCTGTGTGTTTTTGGCTGAAGGGCTTGTGGTATCTCTTCTCAGGTTAACAAAGGCTGGTGCATATTAATTTTCTTTGATAAAATGATGGACTTATGAGCTTGTATTGCTTAGCAAGTAACTGAACAATAAAAGACTGTACATTTCTGGGGTGCAAGGCTGAGACTAATGATACGCAGGTGTCACCCTATATGTAATTCAAGAGTGGCTGGGCATAGCATTATGGTAGTTGTCTGGGTGTGACCTGAATGGTTGGGGTGAGTGGGCAGAGTGGCAGCGCATACAGCAAAGCAGGGCACAGTACATACCAGACTGGAGAGTTAAGGGGGCACAACGGTCCAATAGTCCAGATTGTACCCTGGGGCATGTCACAATTGCATTAACATAAATCACAGATGCACTTATAGCTGACATCATGGGATATATTTACAATATGGTTAAATGTAAAGGTGTACATCTGGGAACAAAGATTGTAGGCCACACTTGCAGGGTGGTGGACTCTAGCCTGGGAAGCCCTGACTCTAAAAACAATTTGGGGATATTGGTGGATAATCAGCTGAACATGAGGTCCAAGTGTGACACTGTAGTCGAAAGAGCGAATACGATCATGGGATGCATAAACAGGGAATCTTGAGTAGGTGTAGTTGTTTTACCTCTGTTATCTGGTACAACCACTGCTGGAATACTGTGTCCAGTTCTGGTATCCACAATTCAAGAAGGATGTTGATAAATTGGAAAGAGTTCAGAGAAGAGCCACGAGAATGATTTAAAGGATTAGAAAACAAACAGAAGTTCAGGAGTGACTTGATTAGTCTGTAAGTACTACACCTGGGGAACAAATATTTAATAATGGGCACTTCAATCTAACAAAGAAAGGTATAACACAATCCCATGGCTGGAAGCTGAATCTAGACAAATCCAGACTAGAAATAAAGCATACATTTTTAATGGTGACATTAATTAACCACTGGAATGATTTACCAGGGATCACGGTGGATTTTCCGTGACCGACAATTTTTAAGTCGAGATTGGATATTTTTCTAAAAAAGATATTGATCTAGGAATTGTTCTGGAGAATTTCTATGGCCTGTGCTAGGACATCAGACTAGATTATCACAATGGTCCATTCTAGCCTTAGAATGTATGAGAGCAAACAAAATAGCCGAGGCTAAACTATCTTGCTTTTCAGAAAGACTTGACCAGACTACAATAGCAGAGCTGCAAAGAACCAGGTAGAATTCTCCAACACAATATATTAAATTAGCACTAAAGACCTCATATAATACTGACCACACAGAGAAGGAAGGCAGAGAGGAAAACATGAAATAATGACATTTGTATTTAATTTCAAAATTTTAAAGAAACCATTACAAAATAAAAATTATTTTTAAGTGTGATTTGTATCTTTTATTCTGTTGGGAAAGGTTTTCATTTCGCTCAGCCTAGGTAATGAAAGTATACTAATACGTTTCTTGCTGTGGTTCTCATGTATTAACCCAATACATTTGTGTTTGGGTCTCCATTATAGGGGAATATTTTAATTACGTCTCACTAAAATGTTAATAAGAATAAGAATAAAGTAACAAAAAACAAAACAACACACTCAGTGGTCCCTTATTCAGCATTTAAAAAAAAAATCAATAATGCAGCATTTAGTTCCGGCATGCAACAGCACAAGCCCAACATGAGTGCAGGCAAGAATAAACACCAGTGCTAATCTTTTCACTGCTGCTGAACCATAAACATTTTTGAATGGACTTCTTGTGAAGGGGCACCACCTTACTCTGGTGGCAAGAGGACTAACCAACTCTTCTGGGCTCATCCAACACCAACCAGGCACACCTGTAAGGCCTGCTTTGCCTGAATGCAGAGGGCAGGGAGTTTAAAAAGGGAAAACCTGTCACAGGGAGAGGACTGCTATACTCCAGAGACTGCTGACCTCAGATGGAGATCAGCCAAGAAGGAGACAGTCTCTAGCTTCACTGCCCCTGGAGCTGCATGGACCAGTTGCAAAGAAGAATGTCCTAAGAGTAGAGGCTGGAGGTAGCCCTTAATTAAAGGCAACAGACCCACTGAAACATCTCCTGAAAGACTGGCTAAGAGACAGACCACCTTCACCTTTCTTTTCTGTCACTTGAATTACCCTCTCTCATAAGGGAAAGAGAAAAGTGCCTTTCTTTTGTTTGTTTTGCTTAGAGAACCCCTCATACGATACGAACTGAAGGAGGACATTATAAGAAACTTGAAGCAGGGTCTGGTGGGGACTTTGGGAGAATAGGGGCTACCCTCACTCCTGAATACAAGGACCTCACAGTGTGGACTGGAGGAAAGTTTTTCTTAATATTACCTACTATAGCCAAGAACACTAAAAAGCTAGACACCAAAAAAAAACCCACCTGAATAAAAAAATTAATGGATCAAATATATGCACAGTGAATCTTTCAAAGACATGACTTATGAGGAGCACATGACTTACGGGGAGAGGCTGAGGGAACTGGGGTTATTTAGTCTGCAGAAGAAAAGAGTGAGGGAGGATTTGATAGCAGCCTTCAACTACATGAAGGGGGGTTCCAAAGAGGATGGAGCTCGGCTGTTCTCAGTGGTGGCTGATGACAGAACAAGAAGCAATGGTCTCAAGTTGCAGTGGGGGAGGTCTAGGATGGATATTAGGAAACACTATTTCACTAAGACGGTGATGAAGAACTGGAATGGGTTACCTAGGGAGGTGGTGGAATCTCCATCCTTAGAGGTTTTTAAGGCCTGGCTCGACAAAGCCATAGCTGGGATGATTTAGTTGGTGTTGGTACTGCTTTGAGCAGGGGATTGGACTAGATGACTTGCTGAGGTCTCTTCCACCCCTAATATTCTATGATTCAAGGAAACTCCGTGATATGTTTTCCAAGTCTCTCTCTCTTCCTTTTTTTTTTTACTTTTTAAAAAGTCTATGAATCCTGCAGTCTTTCACAGGAAGGACATGTGTATGCTATGGGGACAATAATGGCATTGCTACCATGCCACACCTCTGCTGATATAATCCTGTAGTGTAGATACGACCTACAGTGACAGAAGGGGTTTGTCCATCATTGTAGGAACAAAAACTCCCTGAGCAACAGAAGCTCAGTCAGTGGAAGCATTGTTCTGTTGACATAGCCACATCTACACCAGCAGTTAGGTGAGCATAGCTACAGTGCTCAGAAGTGTGGATTTTTCATACCCCTGAACGCGGCAGCTACACTGTCCTAGATTTTAAGCGTAGACCAGGCCTAAGAATTAGCAAGTTAAAATGTTTAGTAACGATATTGATTTTCTCACTTTGAGGTACTTACCTTTATTCATCCTGCTGCGTTACAGCCAATAAAACATTCCATCCATGTCAAAAAGCATCCCAGCAATTACCTTTAGTAAAATATAGAATATTGAAGTATTCTGGTCTACTGTTTATTCACAAAGGCACAAAATAATTCCTGGGCATTGTACAAAGGTACTGTGACATGTATTTTAGAAAGTAGTAAATACTGCTAAAGTAGAATCCCATTACAATTTGTTTTCCTGAATGGTACAAACAGATATAATTAATTTTGCTAGAAGGTTTAAAGTACATTAAAAGTAGTTTTAGACTAGAAATCACAGTAATAAGTACTTTGAATTAATATTGCTAAAAAGTTAATAAAATCTAAAGCATCACAAGTTTTATTATTCATTTTAAAACAATACATAATTTCTAATACTATAGCTTCAATAATGTTTCCAGCTAAAAAATTTTCAAATTAACATGGCATTCTCGCAAGATAATCACACATACACATGATCTGACATTACACACACCTGCCAGTGAAGAACACACAAAACTAAGAGTGTTGACCTACATATTTAAAACATTAAAATAGTTCCATAAATGACACATTACCTCTTTAACGACACACAAAAATCCGTGAAACAGCTCAGGTTGCATATAAACAACGTTCGAGTTTAATGTAGCATAATCATAATTCCTGTATGTTAAAAAAAAAAGTCACATTAATTATATTTCTAGAACTCTACATAAAAATAAAGTCAGAAGTATGCTGTATTTGCTTAATTGGCCAGTGTCCATGTCCTTAACAAAACTACAATAAATATAAAGACTGCTCAAGAAACCAACATTTTTCTTCATACAGGTTTGGAAAAAAATATTTTTACATTATATAATATATCAAGTACCTCAAATTCCATTATTCTGACAAGCACTGAGAAGAGTTAACATCTGAATTGCAGCCATATAGCAATACTATTTTTTTCTAACCTCATAAATCATCCCCACCCAAGAAAAGTCTTAATAATTAAACTATAACGCTATGTAAAGATATTACAAATGCACATTTTAGTACATCAGCATACATATTATCTTGCAAACTTAATGATAACAGTTGTATAACTGTCATCATAACTCGTTTCCTCTCAGTCATAACTTTCAGAAACATTCTTTCCTGGCCAAAAATGTCCATGTTTGATGTTGGCCAAAAGGCTTTTGGGTTTTGTTTTGTTTTTTAAGTCAGAAGAAAATAAGTTACCACAGTAGGAAAAAAATACACTTCTGCTTTGAGAAGAAATGTAAAATTTCATTCTGAATACAAATAAAGGGCTGAATTCTCAACTTCACACAGGACTAGCACTCAATGAGGTATAGCTGTGTTTGAGTTTGAAAAGGAAATACTGAGACAAGCTACTCTATCTACTGAATGGTCCAATTTAAAACCTATGACATTGCACACAATTATTGTATAACTCCATAGTGCCATAGTATTTAAAGGCTAGGTGGTTAATGTAAATCGATGTATCATATGGAAAACATTCAGTTAACATTAACAATGAGAGCAAGATAGTAGCTGGGGGGAAAGCAAAATGACTGACATAAGGGATAAAAGTCTTCCAAGAAAAGATGTTGTATACAGTTTTTCTTCAGGCCTGGTACTGGTGTAGTTTTTCCACCAAAGCAAAACATTCAGACAATAAAGCCAAATTGTTTGCTTTTCAAACGTGTTTAATTCCAACTTCCCTCCCACTGAATACACTACTACAATCTCTCCAAAACTGCCTCTTCAACACCCCTTTTTTATTCTTCCCTTTTCATCTTCAGGCCTTCCTCCATGGCAACTATTATACTTGGAATTCCCTCCCATTTATTTTTTAGTGAGGTAAAGACTATATACTGTAACCTCCTTTATGTGAATTCAAAAACTGGTGGGTCTCGAGCTTTGCAACATACATGAATGCTATGTCCCTTCTAATAGCATGGCACCACTGAAAACCCTGAGGCTTTAGAGGAAATCTTATAAAACTGTAAAAGCCTCACATCCATCTGGTGGCTTACAAATAATATTTATACTTTATGGGAGAACTGTCAGTGTCTAGTACTGTGGTCCCCAAACTTTTCCTGGTGGCACCCCGAACCCCTGCCCGTGGCCCCTCACCTCTAGGAACCAGGACTACAACTGGGGGAAGGGGGAGGCATGTGGACAGGAGTAAGGGGGCTGAGGCTGGGGCCGCAGCTGGGGGTGAGAGCGGGGCCACAGTTGGGAGCCAGTGCCACGGCAGAGCTGAGGCGGAGCACAGCCGTGTGGCACTCCCGTCCCATCTCCTGTGGGGGCTGACCCGGGCCCTGCCACACACACCCTGAATGTTCCTCCGCACCCATCTAGGGAGTACACCCTAGTTTGGGGACCACTGGTCTAGTAGATAGTGCACAGAGCTGGGTCTTGCCACAGACTAGCTCTGAAACCTCATGCAGGGCACATTCCCTCTCTGTGCCTCAGTTTCACCAAATATAATGCATCCTTGCTTCTCACATAAGACTTAATTCAGTACCATTTGTAAAGCACTTTAAGATCCACAAATGAAAGCCACGGTACAAATCCCAATTACTATAACTTTTAAATACTGAATGCTAACATAGTGGACCCTTTTTTTTTGCATATCTTGAGTATAAAGTTGCATGTGATGGCACTATAAGTATATTGGAGCACAGCGTGTTTCTTTTATATTTGCATATTAAACACAACTCAAAATCTAACTTATACCAAGGTTTTTGTCTAGCTGTATTATGGCTGGCATCAGCACTTTGGTGTGCACAGCAAGAATTCAGCAACTCTTAGCATTAGAAACTCAAATCTATGAAGGCCTATTCTACACCTATTCAAACTTTGGCAGAGCTAGCTATATTGTTCAGGACGTGAAAAAGTCACATCCCCTGGGAGATGTGTTAAGCAGACGGAAGCCCCAGTACAGTCTGCACTATTGACAAATTCTTCTGCAGACCTATCGCCTCGTGGAGAGATGGATTTACTACAGTGACCAGAAAAACCCCTTCTATTACACAAGTATCTACACTACAGCTCTGCCGCTGTCACGTTACAAGTGTAGACATACCCTAGAACTCAAACATGCTGTAGATGTGATGCATTTCAATGTCACTGCCAGGGAGTGTCACAATGACCATATGCAACACATGCATCGCCTGGAACACTTCTAAAGTCACGCTGCTGTCTCCATGGGAGACCCCTGTTTATCCACCCACAGCGCAACCACCCTACCCGTTAGAGGAGAAAAAAATTGAAAATTGCTTTCTGAGACTTGAAAGTCCCATTCCTTGGCACCGCCACACTGGGCCGAAGCTAGGCCTGAGGCGGCACCCAACCCTGGGAGGGCAATCGAGAAGGTACCGCCACGACCAAAACGAGCGGCAACAGCAAGGGCAGCACGTGACCCAGGCGGGGCCCTCTGCTGTCCCGCCGCGAGGCAGAGCGGCTGGGCGGGCGCAGGATCTGCCGGAGACCGCTCAGCCCTGGCAGCGGCCGCGCGGACTCTACCTCCGCAAGCTACAGCCACGCGTCAGGAATTAAATAACCGCGCAATCCAGGGAGGCGACTGGCCCCGTGGGGAGGCGGGGCAGGGCCGTTCTCGGGGCGGGGTGTGTGGGGAGGGGCTGGTGCTCAGTAACGGGTCACGACAGGGCGCCATCCCCATCATGCGCCCGGGAGCTCTGCCCCCGCTCACGGGCGCCGCTTCCCCTAGCACCGCCCCCCGGGACAGGAGCGGCGGGGCGTTGTCCGAGCGCGCACGCCCAGGAGCCGCCCCATGCGGGGGAGGAAGGCGGGAAGCGCGAGGCCTGTAGCTAGAGGCTGCCCGGAACAGGGAGAAGCCGCCACGTCCCACCCCCCAAGCAGGACCCGTAACGCCAACGGCGGGGGGAAGGGAACTTACAGCTCTCCCTTTACGTGCCTGCGTCACGCCGCCCGAGCTACGGCGCGCCTTGACGTCACGCCGCCCCCGCCCCGCGGCGGCCACCTCTTGTCTTTTCCCGTCCTGCACCGGCCACCCCCTTCTCCGGCACCTTTGTGCGCAGGCGCGGCCTGCCCTTTCTCGCCCTGCCCGGAGTTGGCGGGAAGGCGGGGCGGGTGTTGCGTCGCCCTCGCTAAGGGAGGAGCGGCGGGGAAAGGGCTACTGGGAATAGGGCCCGCCCCTCTCGGCCGCCGGGGCGGGCAGGCAGCCTGCAGCCACGCTCCCTTACCCGTGCGCAAGCAGCCTGGTGCTACAGGGAGCCGATCCCTTTACATCCCCGTGTCCGGGGCAGCCCCTGGAGGAAGTGGGTCCTAACTGCACCCTCTGCCACTCCCCTCTCCCACCCCGCCCAGTCACTGGGTTAAAATCCAGGGTGTGTCACTCACCTGCTCCGTGCTACCACCATGCACACCCAGGCTAGCCTTTGCCGGACCTGATGCTGCACAGCCCCACTGGTTCGGGGCTGTGTCACTGCCACTGGGGCTGCATCAGCTGGGCTGGGCTCTATGGTGTCACCAGTCCAGGGCTTTGCCATTGGCACAGGGGTGGGTGGGGGCACTGCTGCTGGGTTGGACAGTGTAGTGACACGAGCCCAGGGCTTGATCATTGGTACCAGGTTATGGCCCAGCTAACAAAAAGCAAGGGCAGGAGTGCCAGACCACCACACATGTAACCCAGAGCTTATTATGAGCACTGCTCCTGGTGGGTTTCTTTAGAGGTCCTTAAAACTCACTGTTACCATCATTAAATTTACAAAATTTGCCATCAGCATTTCCTAAGGAGACAAGCAAACGTTCCTGAAAGCTAAATTGCCATCATATTCCTTTGTTTGAGGAAGTCTGACCACCCCTACCCATGAAGGTGGTCAGCTCCCATTATTTTTAGTGAGCTTGAAGCCCAGCTACACTCAGCAAAGGTGGCTGCTGGTCTGGTGGATGGGAGAAGGGAAGGTGGAGAGCAGAAGAGAGGCCGTAAACATACAAGGGATAGGGATGGATCAGAGCTGGTACAAGCTCCCCTGCAAGCTTAATAAACAAAAGGCAAATACATTTTTATTTGCCGTTTGATTATTTTAATTTCATATCTTTCCCAAACCTAAAGAAGAGTTACATGTAACTAACTCTAAAGCTTCTCTCTCACCAACAGAAGTTGGTCCAATAAAAGATATTACCTCACCTCCCCTTGCCTCTCTATTTTAATCTCTGAATTTTTAAACCAGTCTTATGATTTTTGTGTCTGACTCAAGCTTTTTGAAGGCTTATGGTGTACTGAGAAACACTTATTTCCAACCATCAAAAGGAAGAGCAGAGTGGTATATTAGAACATTCCCTACTGGAAAAATACAAAAAATTGTGTGTTCAGCTTTCCATTGGGAATGATGTGAACCAGAATTCGTTATTTTGAGTGCTGATACAACAAGTACCTGTACCAAGATACAGGACCTGTATCTTGGCAGAATAAACATAGGGTGACCAAAACATCAGTGCACTAGCATCAAGGCCATTTTTACTCATCTCTGAAACCAAAGTTATGACAAGATATTGAGTCATATAACTGTTTCATTAGTCTATTCTGCCAGAGTATTCTTTGGCTTAACTGAAATAATTATGCTTCAAAATTCTTAATCTAAAATGCAGCATCAATGTCACCTAGGATTAGTGTTTAATAATGTATTTTGCACCTTTCCTCCCCAATAATTCCAAAATGCTTTACAACTACAGAACCATTGAAATACAACTAATTTTGTAGTGAAGAGTGGCAATCAACTAACACACTACACTGCAGGGAGAGCAAATTTTAGAGCACAAGAGCAGAGCAAATCCTTACCTTTATGAATGTTAAAAAAAATCTTAAATATCCATGCCAAATAGATAGAACTTGGATTTAAAGTTCTCAAAAGAAGGATCATAAGGTTCCAAAAAATTCTATTTTTTTAAGTTGTTTGTATCATACAAATCCAGTTAGAGTTGTTTAATCAAGACCATTACTGCAATCAATACAGGTAAATGAATCACCAGATTGAACAATGAATTAGTATAAGACAGTTATTAGATGATATCCAGGGAAAAAAAAAAAAAGATTTCCTTATGACATGCAAGCTCAGTTCTGCATTTAACAGCTCTTAGTTTTAAAAACAAAGATTATTGATTTAATCTGTTCTTGCCTAAATTAAAGAGACAAGGGGCCTGATTGTAATAATGCAATGATGTAAACTTAAGTTGAAAAATTTTCTGCAGCCACAGAAAAGGTTAATATACCATGTATAGGAAGTATTATCAGTTATCTTTCTGCACCAGTAAGAATAAATGCAGAAATTTGGAACAGTAAATTATTTAAATCTGGATTAGTTGTCTTAAAGTGGTAGAAGGAATAATTTGAACAAGTTGTAGATAGCACTCCTTAGATCTCTCTAAGTTTCTGTGAAGCAGTATTTCAACAGTGACTTTTCTGGGTTTTTTTGTAAAGTTGTATTTTTTTTCCCCCCAACACTTTTTTTTTGGTGGTATGTAAGAAGTCCTTTATTAGCACTTCTTGGTTCTCTATGAGTTTGTGGTTCTGAGTTTGGAAGAGTTCAAGAAGTCATGAAAGTGAAGCAGTAACTTTAATTATATTTAAAAAAAAATTGTAAGTGAATTGGTCTTAAAAACAAAGTGGTAGAAGGGATGATTATAACTGGAACTGAAGACAGACAAATCTTAGTAACCAATTAATGATTTATTGATTCACCAAAAGCAGCAACAATGAATGCCAGGGCAGTGGATGCAAACATTACTTTCTATTGTTGCTTGTTCTATAGACCAAAGGGATCTTAGACTTAGCAGGTTACAATTTAGAATGCAGGGTAATCATCCATGGGTCACTTGTAAATTAATAAAGAACTGTCACACTGTGGACTTATTTAAAATAAGGTTTCAATTATGATTTTTGTGAGTGAAAAAAAGTCTATAGCAGTGGTTCCCAAACTGGGGTTCATGAACCCCAGGGGTTCACAAAATGTTACAGGGGGTTCTTGGGGAAAAAATTCCCTAATGGCGGACAGAGCTGTTCCTAGGGACCCCAGACAGCACGGGGCCAGCAGCCTGGAGCCCCTGGTCTTCCAAGAGCTAAGCAGATCAAAGCAAGCATATCTATCATACTGAGGAGATTTAAACTTCAAGACTCCTTATAAGAAATGGAAAGGGAGGTGGATATTTTTTGCTGTTTTTAAAATTAAATAGGCAGCTAGTATTGTTTTTAAAATTATGAAGAACAAGTTTAAGCTTTGTTGTAATGTGCGTTGTTTGCCTGGACTACTGAAGACCTGAATGCATATGTAGGAGGAACTCTGAGTTGGCTTCTTAAATACCTTCATGCTGTTTCAAATCTGATACTCCTTGATGAAACATAGGAGCCTTGTCTCATAACAGGCTTATTCAAAGTGATACAAGCTACGGAAGTGAGATCTTGGAAGGGTGTTGCCATTTTCATAATGTAATAAAAATAATGTAATTATTTATAATTACGAATAAATAGTGTGTAATAAGCATATCATAAAAACAAGTTTTATATTTCCAAGATCACTGCTTTTATAATTTATACTCAGGTAAAGGAGAAAATCCCAGGAAATATTCATTTTTAGGAGGGGATTTGCGAGACTTGACATTTTAGTGAAAGGGGTTCACAGGTTGTTAAAGTTTGGGAACCACTGGTCTATACTATTTACATGAAATAGTTAGAAAATTAGTCAAAAATCCTTCAGGGACTAAAATGAATTCAGGACTCTTACAATACTAAAGCCCACTTTTTTTGTTTAGCAATGGAAGGACATTTGGAGAATTAAATCAATGCAGTGAAGCCAGCACAGTAGTGCTTTCCTCATTACACTAATACCAGCAGCAATTTCAAATACTTGGTAACAAAGGGATGCTCTGATGGGTTGTGGAATACCTTAGAAAAGACATTTTGGAGAAAGTAACTTGGAGAGGTATATGAGCCAGAAGGCTCCCTAAATACTAATCATGACACGGATTTCTGAGTGGATTCTACACTGATTACAGTGGAGACAAATGCACATCACATACCTGTCCTCCAACATGTCTGCCCTCACCCCACATGTAGCTCTCCTTCCCCACTAAAGGGCCTCCAGTAGGTACTTTGCAGAGGATGTGGCCAACCGGTTTTAGAAACCCAGAGAATAAGGGGAATTTTAAAAACAGAACATGCCAGGTGGTTGTATTTTGATAATCAGTTCTTGGAACTGGGCATAAGGGGAAATGTGCTCAGGGAGCTCTCCACCTGCATGCTATAGGAGCACCTATCTGTGCCAACCCAACCTCATCTTCAATAGCCTGTTCTGGTCCAAACTCTCCCCTTGCTTTCCCTATCCAGATCCTAACAAAGCTTAAAAAAATTAATTCACGCTGTCTATCCTGCTCACCCATAATTTGGGGTGGGTGGGTGTAAATTGTGTTCAGAGAGTGCATATGTTTCAGGGCACCAAAGAGGGGTTGCTTGACCACCTTAACCTGCATATCCCGGCTTA